TCGCCGCCGCCTTCCACCGCGTCGGGCCGCCGCTGCTCATCGAGCACCTGGGGCTGGCGGCGGGCGGCGCGCAGCAGGACCTGCGCCTCTGCGTGGGCTGCGGCTGGGTGCGCGCCGCCGCCCCGGCCGCCTCCGGCCCGCCCCCGCCGCGCCCGCCACCGCCGGGGCGCCCACCGCGCTGCCCGCCTACCCCGCGGCCGAGCCGCCGGGGCCGCTGTGGCTGCAGGGCGAGCCGCTGCACTTCTGCTGCCTGGACTTCAGCCTGGAGGAGCTGCAGGGCGAGCCGGGCTGGCGGCTGAACCGCAAGCCCATCGAGTCCACGCTGGTGGCCTGCTTCATGACCCTGGTCATCGTCGTGTGGAGCGTGGCCGCCCTCATCTGGCCGGTGCCCATCATCGCCGGCTTCCTGCCCAACGGCATGGAGCAGCGCCGGACCACCGCCAGCGCCGCCGCCGCCCCCGCCGCAGTGCCGGCGGGGACCACCGCGGCCGCCGCTGCCGCCGCCGCCGCCGCCGCCGCGGCGGCCGTCACCTCGGGGGTGGCGCCGCAGTGACCCGCCCCTCCCCCCGCGTGCGTCCTGTCCGCGCTCGCGGAGCCTTCCCCGCCGGGACGCCGGCCGGTGTGCTTCGTGCCGTAGTGTCGTTAGTTCTCCTCCCCGATGGGGCCGCCGAGTCCGGAAAGCACGGTTCGCGCTGCGCTTCCAGCTCCGAAAAGCAGGCGCCAGCCCCCGGGCCACGGGGGGACGCAGCTCGGAAGTCGGAGAGAGGGACTTGGGGCCCTTTCCCCTCTGTTGCACCCCCTGCCCGCCTCCCTCCCCGCACCCACGTGCCCTCTGTTCATGGCAGAAAATGACCAAATCCTGTGTATTTGTTTTATATATTTAATAACTGTTTTAAATGAAAGTTTTAGTAAAAAAAAAAAACTACAAAACAAAAAGATTAAATTGCTATTGCTGTAGTAAGAGAAGCTCTTTGTATCCAAACATAGTTGTATTTGAAGTTTGTTGTTTTTTAATTTATTTTAAAAGGGAGGGGGGGCATGGGAAGGATTTGACACCGGTACATCGTTACTGCTGACAATGAACTTTATGGACCTTTTCCAAGTCGATCTATCCAGTGACGTGGCCTGGTGGGCGTTTCTTCTTGTATTTATGTGGTTTTTTTGGCTTTTAATACAGACATTTTCCTCCAGAGATGCGTATGTAGCTTTTTCTTTATTTGATTTAGGAAAAGGAATCCAAGAATCGCGAGGTATTACCCGAAAACGTGAGAGAGGGAATCTGCAAAAAGTTAGAGAAGGGTGAATTCTGTCGCCCTTACTGGAGAGGTAGGAGGTGAAAGCCCTCCTGGCCATTGCTCTGCCACTCTGGGCCTCCCCCACACCTCCCCCCCTTCCCCAGCTGTCTTGGTGACAAGTACAGTTTTACCTGATTTGTCTGTTTACTCGCTGTCCAGGCCTCTGAAAAAAAAAAACGTTCCCTGAAGCGTCAAAATGGTCAAATCAATAATTCCTCTGAGCTGGGTGTCTTTCACAAAAATGACTCATTTTGAAAGGCATATAGACTCCATTTTCGTATGTGTGCACTTTAGCAGGTGAGCACTTTACAACAGCTGGTTTTAAAACCTGATATATTATTTTGGTATTTAAGAATTTTTAAGCAGGTGAACTCTTGGGGAATAAGTAGTTAATGATCACAAGACTTTCTTTACTCCTTGGTTTCCATGTTACTATGATGTCTGGGTTTCAGAAGAGTAAATGGAAAGTTCTTAAAGAGACAATATACCAACAATTTTTTTTTTTCATGAATACTTAAGATTTTTCTAGAGCTCTAGTTCTTAAAGTGTGGTCCCTGGGCCGGTAACGCCAGCAGCATCTGGGAACTTGTTAGAGATGCAAAACCGGGCTCCATGCAGGACCTAAGGAATCAGAAACTCTGGGATAGGGCCCAGCAATCTGTATTTTAACAAGCCCTCTGAGCGATTCTGAGGCATTTCAAGTTTGAAGGAGAACAGTTGTGTGGTTAGTGGAAGAAAACCTTCAAATGTGTGTAGCCTCCTTTTATGTGGTGATGTCTCTATTTTGTCTGTAGAAATGGGGTGCACTTTTTTCCACAGGAGTCTGTCTGAAGGAGGGCTGGGTCTGTCCATGCCTTGCAGTTTCAGCTATTCCTCTGGCTCCTTGAGGTCCAGGGATATCTCTGGCAGAGCACAGCCCCTGAGCCGGGTGGGGTGGGGTGAGGGTTGGGGAGGTGGTCTTCCCCCATCTCCTGATTCCCACATTGAAGAAGTTCAGTGTGATGCAAATCTGTCAGCCTAGAAAGTCACTGCCAATCTTCCTGTGCCCCAAAGCAAGGTAGGTTGTGAACCTCACTGTTTTCCAACTCTGTAGTAACTAGCAGGAAAAAATCAATAATTTTATTAACCTTGATCAATTGTAAAATAATCATAGCATTTATATTAATAATTCTGGAAGGCACATTAGGTATGCTTAGTACCAAACACACACACACACAGTCATTCTACCTGATTTTTTGCAAAATGTAAACTAAGGCTCAGAGAGGTTCAGCATCTTGTCTACTATCACACAGCTACAAGAGGCAGAGCTGAATCTAAACCCAAGACTTCTGCCTCCCTGAATGGTATTTTTCATCACTAGAAACTTCTAGGAGAATTAGGAGCGAGGTGCTCAGTCCTGCTCTTCTGCTGACCTGTCCCAGCCACTGTATATGTGTATGAGGAGCCCTAATGAACACCTCTTTAGTGTGGGTTTGAATATCTACATCTATTTCTGCAGCAACACACCTTCCTAAAGAAAGATTTTCAGAATTGCTGGAGGAACATTTGTGTGTATCTCACCAGTGGGCTGGTTAATTCTCCTAGAAAGGGAGGACAGAGCCTATTGATCTTTTTCAGTAGGGATCCCCCACTGAGTAAAGCAAGTCAGGGCCCTGGCAAGGCCAGCGCTGGGGTCTGTGCATTCTAGTTTGATTTGCATCATCTCAGTAGTGAAACACTTCCAAGTATGTAATTCACTAAGGAGTAAGTGGTAGTTCTTTGACAGTGAAGGAAGTATGCCACTTTGTCCTGTGTACGTGTTTGCATGGAATCCCAGACTCCAGCCCACTCAGAAAGTTTCCTGGGGACAGCTTGAGTTGTCAGTGATGTAGCTAAGCCCCTAGGATAAATCCTCGTTCTTGCTTATTTTGCTTCTCTGGAGAGAAAGTTTACCCCTGGGGAGGGACTCAAGGACTGCTGTAGGCTGTCTTACACTGAGTGTAAACATTCATCCCGGGAGCTGCCCCCAGCCCCAGAGCTGAATACCCTTGTCTCTCCTTTGGGGCTTGCTTCAGCCAAAGAGAGCCACCAGGCCCAAAGCCACCAGGTCCACTCCCTCCCAACCTGGGGTGCCACATCTAATGATGGATCTACACAGGGGCATAAAGATCCAGTCCTCTTGCCACAACTCAGGACAGCTCTGTAGGGTCCCCCAAACTAGCCCCCCACCTGTTCCCATCCCACCTTCAGCTCAGTACTGACCCCCCACAGGGCTGGCTGAGGCTCCCATGGAAAAGGCGTGGAGGTCAGACTACTCCTTCTGCCCACTCTGCCTCCTGCTGTCTCTTCCCTTCCATGGCATTAACCCAAGGGCACCCCCTAGCCAGCCTCTTTCATCCTGATTTCTATTTCACAGCCTGCTTCTCGAGGAACCCCACTGTGACGGGCAGTTTACCTAATGACACGATGCAGAATTGTTCTAGCCATGTGGTCATTAGGCGCTTAAGAGGAGCACATCACATAAATGATTATATCATTTGCATTCCTTTTATTACACAGATCGCAAGTTTCTATTTTTTTTTTTCTCTTCCATCTGGATAGTTCTCTAACAGCTACAATCAGTGATGATAGGGGAAATGTCCCCTAATGCCATTTCTTTTTAAATTATCACTCTTCATATGTATACATGTCAAAGGAGAAAGCCTGGCTTCTTTCTCTCTCGCATCTGCTCATCAGTCAGGACACACCGGGTTCCACTGCAGTGATAAGCAGCCCTACCTCTGTAGTGGCTTAACACAAGGAAGTTTTATTCCATGTTCATGCTACATGTCCAAAGTTGGCAGGGCCTCTGCCCTTTGGAATCACTCAGGGATCTTGGTTGAAGGTGACTCCAACCCCATAATGTGGCCACCATCATATAGGTAGAAGGAAGAAAATTCTAGAGAGTCTCACACAGGCAACTCAATGCTCCAGCCAGGAAGTCATGTTCTTTCTGCTTATTGATTAGAACTAGTCCCGTGGCCCCACCCAATCACAAGGGAGCCAAGGAGTTCCCATTTCCAGGTACCCAGAGGGAGAGGAGAAACTAGCATCAGTGGTATACAAACTCCCAACACCACCATACCTGTGTGATCTACAGGCTACCTGGAAGAATTCCAGGGCTTGGTCTGGTGAGTAGACAAAGGACTCATCCTATGAGTGCCTGCTCTAGACTCTCTGGTGACACCCACATCACCTGTCCACATGGGAAGCTACTTGCCACTCCTGGGGGATTCTACAGGCAATGGAGGTCATTAGCCTAGCAGCTTTCCAAAGTCTGGGGAGAGGATATCTCAAAATAACTCAACCTGGAAGATTTAGACAAAAATGTACTGTGGATCGCCACATCTAGGAATTTTGAGAGATGGGAAAAGAGTTAGAATTAAAATGGGGAGAAAGGAATGGAGAGAGAGTCCAAATCGGCACCCCAGCCCTCCTGGCCTAGCCCTTCCTCGAAATTCATTAGCATCAGGGGCAAGAAGAGCAAGGGTCTTCACTCTCCTGTGGTCTCCTCTCACTGGGGGCAAAGATTTTCTACTTCCCAGTGAGGTTTCAAACTACAAGGACCGGGAGAGTTAAGAGCCATGAGAAAGACGCTCAGTCCATGGCTAGGCCTTTTCCTCAGGACACTGGATTCAGGGGGGTGGAGGATGGAGGGAAGCCACTAGGAGCAGGAGGGTGACAGGGGCTAAGTGCCCAGGCTCACCAGGGCCCCGGGGGCTGGTGGCTTTTGTGTGCACCTCGTCATAGGTGTTCAGCCTGTCCCCGTTTCCCCGCTGGTCTCTCTCATGGGTGGACATTCTGTTGCCCCCACTCCACCCCAGGGCAGCCCTCATTTTAGTGCCTTTGCCTTTGTCTTTCCAGGCTCTGCCAGTGCAGTGCTGACGTGTGGGGACCGCTGGGGAACGGGCCTTACCCGGAGCACAGGGTTCTTACTGCCCTCAATGTGGGCAGGCATTTACCAGCTGCCACCTTCCCTCTGGGCACTTCCTGGCTGGGGCTTTGGATTTTGGATAAAACTGCTTCACGTAGCCTCCATGCATTAGGCAGCAGGAGACGCCCAAGGTCTCCCAGGTCCCCTCGCCAGGTCTCCATTATCTGGGGCCTCTTGTTCTCTCGTTCTCGGTCTTCTCTGGTTCCTACCCCAGGGACAGGCGTTCCTACTGGCCTCCTGCTCTCAGACATTTTCAATTTTCAAGCTCACGTCTCTAGTCCTACAGTCTCCATCAGCTCTGAGTGACTTCTTACACTTCCAGCTCTGTCCCCGGCCAGCTCCTGCTGTGTCCCCCAAAGCTGGGGTCTCTCCAGATGCAGGCCTAACCTGCAGCCTCGTGTCTGGTCTGTCGGGCTTTCTAAGAAGCTGCCTTCTTCTCCGGTTGTCAAGATCACATAACCTGCAGCCCAGTAGGTCCTCTCCCAGCCCCGGCATCCTCCAGGCCCGTGCTGGCACTTGGGTGATCTCTGCCACGCCCCGGGCCAGGCCAAGGCCCAGAAGTATTTTGAGGGCGGTGGGGATTCCCTGAGGTCGCCTGAGGACAGACAGGTGGTGTGGCTGCTCACTGGGGACAATGAGGGCCTCTCTCCTCCTCTCGGCCTTAGCCTTCTCCTGCTGTCCTGAATGCCTGCCTCTCCCAGAACTGTCTCCTTGAGTACTGGAGTGAGCTTCTGGGCCATGGAAGACCCATTCTTTTGCGTGCTTTCATAGGCTCAGTGACAAAAATCAAAATAATTGGCACCTTGATGACACTCTGAGGCCTCATTTTGACTGTGTGTACAGCTTGCCTCCCAGCAAGGGAGGGGCGGTGGGCATGGCAGGAAGATTGCTGACCAGCTAGCTCTCCAACACCCCTAGTTTGACCCGTGGACTGCAGGTTCAAGA